TCAGCATTGTCGTTCACGCAGCACATCTTGGTACGACTGCCTCAGTGCTACGAACAAGACGAGCACGAAGGATGCTGACGCGAGGAGTTGGAAGAGAAGGTGGTGGTGGTGGTGGTGGTGGTGGAGGACGGTGAGGAGGCGGCGCACGCCGCCAGCGGCAGGAGCTCGAGACGAAGCGAAAGGCCACGATGGACGAGCTCTACGCAGACCAGAAGGCGCTGGACCAGGCGAAGCCCTTGCCGAATCGACATCAGCGGGAGGATGAGGGGGGGGAAGAGGACGAGGATGAGGATGAGGTGGACGAGGATGAAGAGGAGGAGGACGAGGATGAGGGGAAGGAGGACGCGGATGAGGAGGAGGGTGGACGGAGCTGGGGATGGGAGGATGAGGAGGCTGCATGACGACGGTGACAAAGATGGTGATGGTGGTGATGTTGCCGGTCAGGAGGATGAGGAACGTCAGGATGGTGAAGATCACTGGTAATGGTTATGGTCAGATGAAGAGGGGGATCATGCGGGGCATAAATTTGATGCTGGTCAGGATGGATAAGTTTGACAATGATGACGACGGGATCATGATGATGATTATGATGTTGTTGATGATGTTGATGTCGAGGACGATGACGAGGAACATGATGCTGATTCTGAGTATTGCTGATGCTGATGTTGATGCTGGTGCTGCTGCGGATGACGATGATGATGAGGATGATTATGCTGATGATGATGCTGATGATGGTGCTGATGCTGCTTATGATGCTGATGATAATGATGATGCTGATGATGATTCTGATGATGATGATGCTACTGATTATGCTCCTGATTGTGATGATGATGCTGATGATGATGAACATGGTGATGCTGCTGATGCTGATGATTATGACGATGATGATGATGATGATGATGATGATGATGATGCTGATGATGCTGATGCTGATGCTGATGCTGATGCTGATGCTGCTGCTGATGATGCTGATGATGCTGAGGACGGTAAGGATGACGCTGCTGATGGTGATACGGCTGATGATGATGATGCTGCTGATGATGATGATGCTGATGCTGCTGATGATGATGATGATGCTGATGCTGATGCTGATTGTGATCATGATGATGATGCTGATTATGGTACTAATGATGCTGATTATGCTGATGATGATCATGCTGCTTATGATGATGATGCTGATGATGCTGATGATGCTGATGATGACGATGATGATGCTGCTAATGATGATGATGCTGATGATGATGCTGCTGATGATGCTGATGCTGCTGATGAGGATGATGATGATGCTGATGATGATGATCATGATGATGATGCTGATGATGATGCTGATGATGATGATGCTGATGATGATGATGATGCTGATGCTGATGATGATGCTGATGAGGATGAGGATGGATGATGCTGCTGATAATGATGTGATGATGATGATGACGATGATGATGATGATGATGATGAAGATGATGATGATGATGATGCTGATGATGATGATGATGCTGATGTGATGATGATGATGATGCTGATGATGATGCTGATGATGATGATGATACTGATGATGATGCTGATGATGATTATGATGATGATGTTGATGATGATGCTGCTGCTGTCATGATGATGATGATGATGCTGATGATGATGATGATGGTGGTGATGGTGGTGGTGATGATGATGATGATGATGCTGCTGCTGATGATGAATGATGATGCTGATGATGATGATGCTGATGATGATGATGATGTGATGATGATGATGCTGCTGATGATGATGATGATGCTAATGATGATACTGATGATGATAATGATGCTGATGATGATGCTTATGATTCTGATGATGGTGATGCTGATGATGATTATGATGATGATGCTGATGATGATGATGATGATGCTGATGATGATGATGCTGCTGATGCTGATGATGGTGATGATGATGATGATGATGATGTGTTGTTGTTGTTGTGTTGTTGTTGATGCTTATGCTGATGATGATGATGCATGATGATGATTGATGATGTGATGATGAGAGAGGAGGGAGGAGGAGAGGAGGAGGAGGCGGAGGAGGAGGAGGAGGAGGAGGAGGAGGAGGAGAGGGTGGATGAGGAGGAGGAGGACGATGAGCAGGAGGAGGCGCCGAGAGCAAGTCGAAGCATGGGTGACCCGTTCCGACCGTCTGGAGGCTTCGCACCGCCAAGGGAGCGACGCTTCCGGCGTGGAAGGTTCGGACTCTCCTGGGTAGCCGCGAGTCTCTATGCTCTTGCCCTGTGCCGCGGAGAGGCTCGAAAGGCACTGACATGCGCTGCCGCCCCAGTGAGGTGACGTGGATGAGAAAGGATCGGGTCTTACTAGGAGAGGGAGGGAGGGAGGGAGGGAGGGAGGGTGGGTGGGTGGGTGGGAGGGACGGAGGAGGAGGAGGAGGAGGAGGAGGAGGAGGAGGGACGAGTAGAGGGGGGAGAGGAGACACCTGGGCGAGGAACGGGGCGGGGCGAGGAGGGAGAGGGGGGGCGGGGCGAGAAGCGGGACGGGAGGCGAGGGGTGGGGGGGAGAGATTGAGGGAGGTGGAGGAGCGTGCGGGGCGAGGAACGGGACGCGGCGAGGAGGGAGAGGGGGGGGCGGGGCGAGGAACGGGACGCGGGGGAACTGGGACGGGCAGGGGGCACTCGAAGCAGAACAAGCGACACAGCAGCTTTTGGAGCTTCGCTCCCTGGTGCGCGGAGCGCGCCAGGGGCGGCGCTGGAGGCGTCGCTAGGGGTACCCAGCGCCGATCCAACAAATGTGGGAAACTATGGGGTATCCGGTTAGTTGTGTGTCTTTATTTGTGTGTCCTTGGGCCCCTTCAGCATGCTCCTTGAAGAATCCGTCCCCCCCCTCCCCTCGAAGCCCGCTTCGCCCCCTGTGCCCCACCTCCTCCCCCGTTGCCCCTCCATCCACCTTGCCTCCCCCCCCCTGCTCTCTCGTCTCCTCGATCCCCCCCCGCTCCGCACGCACGCATCATGCATGCTGCTCTCCTCTCCCCCCTGACCCTGCCCGGAAGATGTTCGGCCCTCTCCGCGTATTTTTTCCAAGCAAGGTGTCAAACATTGATGTGTCTCGAGTTTCTTTACGTATCGATTGTGTTTGGTGCTCCAGATGGTGTTCTTGTTGCAGCGTGGGCCCCTTTTTCGGATCGGCGCATCGCTCCCGTCGTTCAGGATGAGGCCCCCGCCCCAGCGCAAGCCGCTTTTCTGGATGCAGGCCCCTTTTCACCGTTGTCGCCCGCTTGTTTTCCTGGTCCTCCTGCTCCTCGCGCTCCTTCGACTCCAGCTCCTGCTGCTGCTGCTGCTGCTGCTGCTGCTGTCCGTCCTTGTCCTCCTCCTGACTCATCCTCCTCCTCCTTCTCCCCCCGCTTTAGTCTAATTGTGCATAGCACGACAAGGGGTTCCTTTTTGGAGTTCCAGGCCTGCTACGACACGCGTCGGTGGATCGAGAGGTACAGCGCATTGGGAAGGATGGGGTGGGTGGGGTAGTAGGATGTCCGATGCTGTGGGAGTGCACTTAACTTGCCCCTTTCCCCTCTCTCGCTCTCTCCTCGCCGCCGCTCCTTTCCAGGAACAGGGTGGAGGAGGAGGAGGAGGGGGAGGAGGAGGATTAGGAGGGGGAGGAGGAGGAGGAGGAGGAGGAGGAGGAGGAGGAGGAGGAGGAGGAGGAGGAGGAGGAGCAGGAGGAGCAGGAGAACGAGGACGAGGACGAGGAGGAGGAGGAAGAGGAGGACGGTGACGATTACAGTGACGATGAAGACGGCGACGATGATGCTGCTGCTGGTGATGCTGATGCTGATGCTTCTGATGGTGCTGATTATGGCGCGGATGTGTTTGTGATGATGCTGATCATGCTGATGATGATGATGATGATGATGATGATGATGATGGTGATGGTGATGCTGATGCTGACGATGATGATGTTGATGCTGATGCTGATGATGCTGATGCTGATGATAATGGCGGCGGCTGTGGTGCTACTGCTGATGACGGTGTTGGTGGTGGCGGTTGTGCTCATGCTTCTGCTGATGGTTCTGCGGATGATGTTGATGCTGACGCAGGTGTTCCTTATGTAGATGATATTGGCGATGCTGATGGCCATGATGATTATGGTGGTGGTGGTGATGACGATGATGATGATGCTGATGCTGCTGTTGATGATGATGCGTATGATGCTGCTGATGATGAGGATGCTGATGTTGTTGATGATGATGCTGCTGATGCTGATGCTGTGGCTGATGATGATGCTGGTGACGGTGGTGGTGATGCTGGTGGTGGTGATGATGATGCTGATGGCGATGGTGGTTGTGATGCTGATGGCGGCGGCTGTTGTGCTACTGCTGATGACGGTGGTGGTGGTGGTTGTGGTCATGCTGCTGCTGATGGTTATGATGAGGATGTTGGTGCTGACGCAGATGCTCCTGATGATGATGATGATGATGACGGTACGATGATGATGGCATTGCAACTCTGGTGGTGGTGTGATGACGATGATGATGATGCTGCTGCTCATGATGCTGCTGATCATGATGCTGTTGTTGATGATGATGATGCTGCTGATACTGATGCTGATGCTGATGCTGATGATGATGCTGCGGCTGCTGATGCTGCTGCTGCTGATGATGATGATGATGCTGATGATAATGATGATACTGGTAATGATTCTGCTGCTAATCGTGAAGATGATCATGCTGCTGCTGATGATGATTATGATGATGATGATGATTATGATGAAAATGCTGCTTGTGATGACGATACGGCGACGACGACGATGATGATGAGGAGGAGGAGGTGGAAGAAAACGAATCTGGGAGGAGGAATAATAGATGGAGGAGGGTTACACAGGCAGGAGGGTGAGGAGGAGAGGAGCCTCCCTCTCTTGATCACTCTGGTTATGTCTCTCTCTCTCTCTCTCTCTTTCTTTCTCCCCTCCCGCTCTGTGCCTCTCTCTCTCTTCCTCTGCCGCTCTCTCCTTCCGTCTTTTCTTTCTCTGTCCCTACTATCTCTCTCGCTGTCTGTCTCTCTCTCTCTCTCTTTGTTTTGTTTGTTTCTTTCTTTCTTTCTCTCTCTATCTCTCTTTCTGCTCCCCCCATCTTTTTTGTTGTTCTCTCTCTCTCTCTTCCTACTCTTCATCCCCGCCCCAAGGCGACGGAGCTTCGGATGCAAGAGAACAAGGCGGGCGCCCGCGCGTCATCCGCCGCTCTCTCCCTGTGCTCTGGCCAGGAGCGACCGGCAACCAATGTGGCTGCGCTGCCTCGGTGCGATCAGTTTCTCCCGAAACAGGTCGTCTGTATGGGTTCGGTCGAAGTCTTCTAGGACACTAGTACAGTGCCGTTTTTAGTGCATGCTCCGCGTGCGGATCATGTATTACACATGTGGGGATTCAGTACTAAAAACAGCGATGAGTTCATGCATAAATTGATTCATACATTAATCATCTATTAAAATCCTATATATTAAAAATCCCATGTATTAAAAACTGCCCTGGCTCCGGAACCGGTCCGACGACGTGGCCTCCGGAACCGGTCCGACGACGTGGCCTCCCGTTGGCCTCTCGTGCGCTGCTGGATCCGGAAGGGCTCGGGCGTCGTGGCCTCGCGTGGCCCTCCCGTTGCATTCTTACCATTATCTCCAGTGCTTGCATATCTCTACCATCAGCACGAGCGGAATGGGTACGGAAAGAACGGGTACGATGCCCAAAAGCAGTTCCTGTTCATTCTGAGCAGGGCTCGCTGTCCGCGCCGCGGCCTGTGCCATCTGAGACAGAAGGCCGCCTGCCCAACAGCGCCCGCTGTTGGTTTGGGACAACATTTGTTGTTGGGCATTGTACCCATTTCTTCCGTACCCATGTCGGGCGTCCAAATACCAGTGGCCTTCGGCCCATCCCTCCACCGTGCCTGGGTCGCTGACGAGAGGCTTCTCAGAGAGCAGTCTTTGGGGCCATCTCAGGGGCCTCGGAGGCCTCCTGGGAGCCTCTCGGGTCCGGCGCCTCCTGGGAATCTGGAGGCGCAATCGGTGACCATTTTGGGGCGGAGAGCTCGACGTGTCTTCGTGTTCTCCCTTCTGTTAAGTCGGGCCTGTCCCTGTACAGGAGGAATGCTCAAAAATAGCAGAAAATATTTGTTTGGGGCGATTTTTTGAACATTTTGTTTGTCTATTTGGGAGTATGTTTTTTTTTTTTCCGCCCCAAATCCCCCTGTAGGGGGACATGCCTGACCTATCCCTCCTGGGACTTTCTGGGGGCCGTCTTGGGGGACTCCTGGACCCCTCTTGGGGGCTTGGGAGGGGCGATCTTGGGGGCCTTGGGTGTCGCTGGCGCCCTTGAGACCGACAAGGCGACAATGTCAAAGTCTTACAGGAATCAAGCATGTTACGTTATTCTGGCTTTTTGGGCTGGCCCCTAGCGTCTTCAAGGCGGCCCAAGAGGGGGAGGGAGAGAGACATAACGATACAGAGAGAGAAGAGAGGGAGAGAGGAAGAGAGAGAGAGAGAGAGACGTAGATAAGAGAGAGAGAGAGAGAGAGAGAGAGAGATCACGAGAGATAGAGAGAGAGAGAGAGAGCGAGAGACAGAGATACATTGATACATGGAACAACGAGATAGCGAGAAAGACGAGAGAGAGAGAGAGCATAGAGAAAAAAGAGAAACGTACGGAGACATAATGAGAGAGAGAGAGAGAAATAGAGAGAGAGAGAAGGATCGGTGAAGGGGTACAGGCGGAGGCCGAAACGGAGGAGGAGAGGAGGAGACGAGGAGGAAGAGTAGGAGGAGGCGGCGGCGGCGGAGGAGGAGGAGGACCAGTGGAAACCCAAGAGTGACCAAGGATGTTGGAATAAACCCTCCCTCCAAGCTCCCTCTTCATAGGCCCCTACACTGAGGGAACTGCCTCGTTGGAAGACAACCGTTTGAAGACCCTGAAAGCATGCCAAAACAACGTTCTCGGGAGTCCAACGCCACGGATCAACCTGACTGTTGCGTCTTGACGATCTTGAGCCGTGTCAGAGCACCATTCTTGAGACTTCAACGCAGCGAATCAACGTAATTGTTGCAGCCTCATAATCCTGAATCCTTCCAAAACACCATTCGCGGTACGCTGATCATGGGAAGCCGTGACATTTTTCTATATATATATATATATATATGTATACAACGAACGTGCGCGGCGCTAAGACGGGAGCCACATCTCGAAAATGAGCCGCCCTCAATCCGTGAACATCTGGCAAATGTTTAACGCGGCGCTAAGGCGATAATCACAAGTTCAAAACCACCCGCCCTCAATCCGCGAAACTCTTGCACATGTTTAAGGCGAATGTGCGCGGCGGCAAGGCGATATCTACATTTTGAACACCACCTGCCCTCGAAACGCGAAACTCTTGCAAGTTTTTAAAACGAATGTGCGCGGCGCTAAGGCGAGAATCGCAGTTTGAAAAGCACCCGCCCTCAATCCGTGAAACTGTAGCAAATGTTTAAAACGAGTGTGCGCGGCGCTGACGCGAGAGCCACATGTTGAAAACCACCCGCCCTCAACCCGTGAAGCTGTGATCATTTGTAAAGCTTATGGTGCGGCAGGGAGAAGTTCTAAAGAAAAAGGAATGAAGGAGAAGGTGGCGGACGAGGAGGAGGAAGAGGAGGAACACGATGAGGGGAGAGGAGGAAGAGGATGATGATGATGCTGCTTCTGATGATGATGATGATGATGTTGATGATGATGATGAGGAAGAGGAGGATGACGAGGAGTAGGAGGAATCAGAGGAATACAGCTAAGACTAATGATAATACGGTCAATACTACTAACAGTAATAATCGCAATGCTAGTAAAGATAATACAATTAATACTGCCAATGCGAGTACCAGTAATAGTAATAACACTAACAATGGCAACAGCAACGATCACAAACCACATCCGAATACTGATACTACTTTTTAGGCCGAAATATTTTCGTCTTGAGCCCCAAATGTCGGAAGCGACGTGTCGTTCAGGTGAGCGGATACATGTAGCGCTCTCTTCGGCTTCGTGCCTCCTCCCTCCTCCTTCCCCTCTCCGTCCTAGGACCCCCCCTTCACCCGTAGAATCATAGCTTCGGTCAGCAGCTCCACATGTCCGTGGATAGCATGATGCTTCACGTGCGAAGCCCCGCGGATCACATTTCCCCTGTGTCCGGGATGTTAATTATCATTCTACAGTTATTTGCGGAAGATACATTGACCCATTGTTTTTGTTATTCACACGCGGGAGACAGGATCCGCGCAAAACAGACATAGGATCCACCACAATGTCGAACACCCAAAACATATCCAATTGGATCCATCGGTGTTCTCATGTTTGTGTACGAGAGGAAAACACCTGGGCCTGGGGATGGAGTGGGGAGAAGAGGAGGAGGAAAGGAAGAGGAAAAGGAAGAGGAGGAGGAGGGGGAGGGGGAGGAGGAGGAGCAGGAGGAGGAGGAGGAGAAAGAGGAAGACGAGGAAGAAGAGGAAGACGAGGAACCATATGAATACGAGGAACGCTACGAATACCAAGACAACTAATACCAACACTAAGAACACTAAACACCGATTCGTACTAATAGTAAGAGGAGGAGGAGGAGGAGGACGAGGAGGAGGAGGAGGGAATGGATGATGATGATGATGATGGATGATGATGATGAGGAGGAGGAGGAGGAGGAGGAGGAGGAGGAGGAGGAGGAGGAGGAGGAGGAGGGGAGGAGGAGGAGGAGGGAGGAGGGGGAGAGGCGGAGGAGGAATAGGAGGAGGAGGAGGAGGGGGAGGAGGAGGCGGAGGAGGAGAAGGAGGAGGAAGAAACGAAAGAAGAAACAATGATGTTATTACTAAACTAACACGAGCAACACTACTGACAAGAAGAAGACGACTACTCTTAATCTTTATAATAATAGGAGGAGGAGGCAGAGGATGAGGAGGAGGCGGAGAAGGCGGAGGCGGAGGAGGAGAAGGCGGAGGAGGAGAAGGCGGAGGAGGAGAAGGCGGAGGCGGAGGCGGAGGCCGAGGAGGAGGAGGAGGAGGATGAGGAGGAGGAGGAGGGGGAGGAGGAGGAGGAGGAGAAGGAGAGGGAGGAGGAGGAGGATCACTACGACGGCGAGCCTCAGGCCTTCCACCAGACGGAGACGGAGTTCTTAGAGGCGATCGGCGCCTGCAAGGGTGCCATCCAGGCCCCCTCTCCCGCCCGCCATCTGGGAGCAACGGTGCATCCTCGGGTCGGACGGGCTTTGGGTGGGAGAGGGCCAGGGATAAGGACGACGACGATGGGGAGGAGGATGAGGAGGAACAAGGGCATGATGAGGGGAGAGTAGGCAGGTCGAGCGGGAACGTGGATGAGGGAACAGTGGACGACGATGAGGATGACGATGTCGATGATGACGATGACGATGACGGTGACGAAGGCGATGGCGATGCCGATCACGATGCTACCGATGATGATGCTGGTGATGACGATGATGCTGATGTTGCTGATGCTGATGATGATGTTGATGGTGGTGGTTGTGGTGCCGGTGGTGGGGGTGGGGGGTGGTGGTGATGTTGTTGCTGATGATGACGGTGACGATGACGATGACGACGATGATACTGCTGATGATGACGATGATGCTGATGCTGATGCTGATGTTGCTGATGATGATGATTATAATGATGATAGTGGTTGTGGTGGTGGTGGTGGGATGCTGATCATGACGATGACGACGACGATGGTGATGACGATGACGATGACGATGATGATGATGCTGGTGATGATGATGCTGATGATGATCATGACGATGCTGATGACGATGCTGAGGGTGCTGATGATGCTGATGATGTCGATGATGCTGACGATGATGCTGATGATGTGATGCTGATGATGATGATGCTGCTAATGATGATGCTGATGATGAGGACCCTGCTGATGATGAATCTGATGATGATGCTAATGATGCTGATGGTGATGATAATGATGCTGATGATGCTGCTGATGATGCTGATGATGCTGATGCTGATGCTGATGATGATGATGATGATGATGCTGATGATGATGATGATGACGATGATGCTGATGCTGATGCTGATGATGCTGATGATGATGATGATGATGATGATGATGATAGTTGCGGTGATGATGTTGATCCTCATCATGATGATGGACAGAGCGTCTTCTGAGTACGCTGAAAGAAAGTGAAGTGGGGTAGGGACGAACACCCTCAAAAGTCAGGGGAGGTGGTCGAACCCCCGCCTTCCCCTTCCCACAGTGAAAGTCGGAGGAGAGGGGTCAAACCCTGTCCCCCCCATGGTGCTAGTAGCTGACGACGACGAGGACCACATCGGCGATGACGCCCAGAGGCGCAAACGACGACGTCGATGAGGGCGACGATGACGACGACGCCGGCGAGGACGACGACGACGACGTGTCCCGCCCGCTCCGCCGACCGGCCTCGCCCAAGACGGCGAAGTGTCCTACCCGCCCGTACGACCAACCGGCTTTGCGACGACGACAACGACGACGTCGTTGTCTTCGTCCGTCGTTGTCGTCTGCTGGCGGCGAGGGGTAGGGGGGCTCGAACTCGCCCCCCTTCCGAATTTCGGGAGCGGAGGGTTGGGTGTGGGTGGGGGGCCCCGGTTTTGGAAAGTGAGGGGGGAGGATTGTAGGTGGCGGCTCCATAGTTGGGGAGGTTCGATTCTTGCGCATCAGTTCTGCGTGCACAGGAGACGCGTCCTCTGAATATGAGGAGCATGACAGTGACGGTGAAGATGGCGATGATGAAGATCAATGTGGTGATGCTGATGATGATGCTGATGATGTCGTTGATGAAGAGGATGATGAAGAGGATGATAATGGTGATGCTGACGATGATGTTGATGATGATGAGGATGATCATAATGCCGATAATGATGATGAGGATGACGATGACGATGATGCTGCTGCTGATGATGATGATGATGATTGTGGTGGTGGTGCTGACGTAGGTGGTGATGATGGCGCTGATGTTGATGTCGTCGATGGTGACGATGGTGGTGATGATGTAGAGGATGCGGGTGATGAGGGTGACAATGCAGATGATGGAGATGCCGATGGTGATGATGCAGATGATGCTGGTGGTGGGGATGACGATGATGATGCTGCTGATGATGATGACGATGAGTTTTCAGATGGTAATAATAGTGATGCTGCTGATGATGTTGACGTTGACGGCGATGCTGCTGCTGATGATGATGATACGTGGATGATGGTAGTTGTGCCGATGAGGATTATCTGGTTGATTATGGTGATGATGCTGGTGATAATGATAATGATGCTGATCCTGACGATGATGCTGATGATGCTGATGATGCTGATGATGCTGCTGATGATGTTGTTGCTGATGATGATGATGCTGATTATGATGATGATGATGCTGATGATGATGACGATGACGATGTAGACGACGACGATTGTAAGGATGGTGAGGGTGCTGAGGCAATCTGATGATGAACGATGGTTGTGGTGATGATGATGGTGAGGACAGTGATGATGCAGACGGTTGTTGTCCATGACGATGATGATGGTGGAGATGTGGTGATACTGACGATGACGACGATGGTCAATGTGACGGCAGTGGTGGACTGTGACGACGGTGACGGTGACAAGGGTGCCTCCCTCTCCCGCCCCTTCTGCCTCCCTCCAGGTGCTCGGCGTGCACCAGGCCGACCTGGCGCAGGTGCAGGCGATCGCGAAGTCCCTCCGGAGGGCCCGCGTCCAGGACCTCGCGCTCACCGCCTTCGCCGCGGGCCACGCCGCCTCCGCCCACACTCGCGCCAAGGTGCTCGCCGAGTTCCTGGACACCGCCGAGAAGGGCAATCGCCAGGAGACCACGGCAGGGCTCCCTCGTTCAAGGTTTTGCCTGCGCTATTCCGCAAGACCGCGGATAAGGTGACAAGTCCACGGGTGTTTCCTAGGGACTCCAGTGGCTGCGTTCGGAGTGGGTCTAAGGGCTGTGGAGTTTTTTTTTGTCTGGTTTGGGTTTCGGTGGAAGGTGGCTTTTTCGGATGGGCATGGACAGCACGAGGGGTCAGCGTGCGAGGAGGAGGAGGAGAGGGAGGAGAAGGAGGAGAAGGAGAAACGATAAGGAACGCGAGCAGGTGGGGTGAGAAAACTGAGGGACGATGAAGAGAGGAATCCCGGGCTGCGGAGGAGGGGGAGGAGGAGTGTGATAATGACTTGGCACGAGGCACACACCCCAGGAGGGAACTGGCACGCCAATCTCCCAGTCGGTGAGAGTCAGGGGGTATGGCCTTGACACGTGCGTGGCCGAACGTTTGGGCCTGTCTTGTGGCCCTCGCGGTGGAGGGTTTCTCCGAAGGGCTTAGGCGACCAGTCCTCCTCCTTCTCCTCCTCCTCCTCCTCCTCCTCCCTCCCCCTCCCCCTCCTCCGCCTCCTCCTCCTCCTCCGCCTCCTCCTCCTCCATCTCCTCCTCCTCCTCCTCCTCCTCCTCCTCGTCCTCCTCCTCGGGTCGCCCACGGCCCCAGGGGAACACCGTGCACCTCGCGGTGCCTCGCAGAGTGTGTGCTTGGGGTCCTCTTGGGGCTCTGTCTTTGTCTCTCTTGGGGCCCCTGGGGGCCATCTTGGCGTCACTTCGGGGACCTCGGGGTCGCTTTGGAGGGTCCTGGGGCCACGCGGATGCGTCTTCGGGCAGTCTTCGGGTGACGGGGCAGTCTTGGACACCTGTTTGGGCCTGTCCAGAGGCCAGCCGGGAGCCTATGGGGCTATTTGGGGCCATGCTGGGGCCATATTGGAGGCATTTCGGGCTTCCCCGCAGACTGCTGGAGGCTTCCAGAACCTTCTCAGAGGCCTCTGGACTCGATACACCGAAGTATCGTAACGCATTGGACAGCCATAGCGTGCGTGTTATGAGTTTGGGCGTCTCTGTTCTCTCGCTTGGGTCCTCTTTCGGTCTTCTCGGGGTCGCTTCGGGCCTCTCGAGTTCGTCTTGAGACCTCGTGGGCGTGTTGGAATGCTTCTGCAGTCGTGTTGGAAGGCATCTGGGGGCACCTGGGTTGCGCCAGAGATTGGATTCGAGGCTGCGACAGCAGGAATGCGTTGGCGAAGTCCTGTGCGGATCCCCCCTCGCCTCAAACATACTTTTGGAACCCCGGGGAGAGAGGAAAGTGGGAGGGGGTGAGCTGTAAGACGGGGGTTAAAGCAAACGGGGGTCAGCCAGAGCGCAAGATTTTGCAGGACCTGCAAAGGCAGGGCTGCATTGACCCGGTCTTGCGAGCAGGATCCTGCAGGATCCAGCAGTCTCCTTGAAAAACCTGACTGACCCGGACTTTGCGCACGCGAAGCATCCAAGCCGTGCCTTCAGGAGACAATGGCGTTTCTGTCGATCCCGGGCTACAGCAGCTACAAGCCGCAAAGTTCCCAGATCTACGGCATCCTGGAGCAGATGTTGGTGGACTTCAAGTCCAACCTTGCAAACGAGCAAGCTTCCGAGAAGAAGAGTGTGGAGAATTTCGAAGCACTCAAGGCCGCGAAGTTGGACGAGATCGCGGCTGGCAACAAGCTGGTCTCCGACATCGACGCCACAGTCGCGGGACTGAAGGAGAAGAACGCTCAGGAGCTGAAGGAGTTGGCAGATACCGAGGAGCAGCTGAGCATGGACCAGGCGTTCTTGGCTGACCTGCAGCAGAAGTGCGCCGCCTCCGACGCGGAGTTCGAGAGCCGCACGAAGAGCCGCCTGGACGAGATAGCCGCGGTGGAGGACACGATCAAGATCCTCAACAGCGACGAGTCCTTCGCGAACTTCGAGAAGACCACGAAGGGCTTCGTGGAGGGCCAGAAGTTCGTCGAGGCGACCTCGTTCCTCCAGGATCAGGAGGGAAAACACACAGACACCAGTAATCGTCGACTCCCAGGAAAACATATGGGAAAATAGGGGAAGCGGGGGGGGGGGGGGGAAGACGAACATCCCGAACATATGGACAAATCTAGGCCATCCTGGGCTTCATGTGTACTTCTTTGTGTGTCCCTGGGCCCCCTTGCCAGGAGTCCTCCAGCCAGGAGGCGGCGCAGCGGATGCGGGTCGCGGCCCTGCTGCGGAAGGCGGCGGGCGGCAGCAGCTCCGCCCAGCTGGCGCTCCTCGCTGCGTCGGCAGAGATCGACGCCTTCACCAAGGCGAAGTCGGGCCTGTCCCTCTACAGGGGGGATATTCAAAAATAGTCAAACAACGATTTTTTGCGTATGTGTAGATCATGTTTGATTATTTGGGGATCATTTTTTCGCCCAAAGCCCGCCTGTAGGGGGACATGCCCGACCTAACACCAAGGTGAAGGAGGAGATCGACAAGCTCATCGCGGAGCTCAAGGCGCAGCAGTCCGACGAGGTGAAGATGCGCGACTGGTGCATCGACGAGTTCGCCACCAACAAGGACGAGACGCAGACTGGCGACCACAAGATGTCCAACCTGCAGCAGAAAGAGAAGGACCTGGAGGCCCGGATCGAGGAGCTGACCTCGAAGATCCAGGTGATCACGGAGGAGATGGCAGAGTCGCAGAAGCAGATGGGGCGCGCTTCCGACAATCGCGAGACAGAGGCGGCGGAGCTCGCCGAGACCATCCAGGACTCGAGAAACACAAGACAGCACACACAACGTGTCGTACAGTCAACCCGCGTAGTATGGATGGGCAACTTTCCCAAGGGTACCCTTGCATCCTTGCCTCCTCGGTCCATCCTTGTCCACTTTCGTTGACCGCGCCCCGCTCGGAAAACTTCGAAATGAGTTTCCGCGGCCCTTGCATCCATATCGCGCATCCTTACCATACAGGTTGACTGTACTCCCTCCCCGCTCCCCCGGCGCGCTCCGCGCGCCTGGGGGCAGGTGTGCGGAGAGGGGGTCGCCCAGCGCCGCCCAAGGAACACTGCGCGGACCTCCGGGAGTTTCCCGAGCAGCGTGCCTGTATGGGTCCCATATCTACACATATACACATATATGATTGAAGTCCAAATCAGTCACGGATGATATCGTTTTCAGATTTTAAAAATATTTTTAATCCAATAAACTTAATGATTCAATTCAATAGTTTCATACTGTACTTAATTTTCTACCTTGAGGATCTTACATTTTTCAAATTATATGACATGTAGAAATGCGTCGAATTCCTAACATGTTGGTAATCGTTTATTTGATTACTATCTAAATACTTATATTTGAATAATTTAAGAATTCCAAACAATTAATTACTTTAGTGATGAAGTATTGAGAGGACATAATTACACATCGTGTTAAACTGAAACGGGTTCGTAATATTTTTACACCAACTTTTTATTATCAGGAATTATCCAATTGTCGAATATTTGAATGATTGAAAAATCGGACATTGAGGAACTCAACGACATATTACGATTCCGATTCACTTGAGGACGATGTGGGCTATTCAGAAAGTCGCCCGAATATGATGCAGCTTCGTATTATTTACTACTTGACATCTCATTTTAATTTATAGTAACTAAACCATTAACAATTTTCATCGTCCTACAGTAATGCAGAGTCGTAACATTTATAATTATATTCCTGAATTGTTTCAGGTTTTCAATTTTTTGCAATACTACATAATTGTTTGATGTATGCAGTTTGTTTTTTGTTTGTAGTAAAACAATGGAATAATTTAGCATTTACAACGTCTTAAAGTGATACGGGTCGTATTTTTGACATAGAATAATATCTAAGTTTTTGACATTCGTTCTATATCTGAACTTTTTGTCAAACAGTCAGAACTAGAATGCTTAACTTAAATCGTATTACGACTCTGCTACATTTTAGATGATGGCGATTTCATTTTTTATTATACTTGGATTCGCTATATTTCAGTAGTTCAATTATTATTATTATTCATTGTTTAGAACGTATATTCAAATACTTGAAGTTTTAAAAATCTGCAGTCATTTAAAAGTTAACATCGTCCTGGAACGAGGCAGAGTATTTATAGTTGGTTAGTTAAACCTTGTAAATTATATAAACTTTTGAAATTATTCAAAATTTGAATCGTTTAAACATATTTAGAAATCTAATTCATAGAATATTACGATTCTGCTGCGCTTCAGGACGATGCCGATTCAAATGTTTTTCCCCCAATCAGAGCTTGCCTCTGTAGGGGTCCTAGCGGATTCATATGGTTAGGTTAGGTTTGTCGCCGATTTTCGCTGCACGCCCCAGTGCCCAGGTGCCCGGGGGTGCCTGGGGCCCGGGTGCCTGGGGGGTGCCCGGGGGTGCCCGGGTGCCCGGGTGCCCGGGTGCCTGGGTGCCCGGGCGTGCCCGGGGGTGCCCGGGGGTGCCCTATAGCTCTAAGCACTATAGCCCACCAGCCCTACAGCCCTACAACTCCAAAGTCCTATAGTTCTATAGCGCTATAGCTCAATAGCCCTATAGCCCTATAGCCCCCTAGTCCTATATCCCTGATTGGGGCTTTTTCTCGTTATCATAATGTTTTGTCTTTAAAACATAAATTTAAACTAATCATAGTATTGACGTATTCTTAAATTTTCACAATTGTACATTTAAATACTACGCTATTATAGCGTTGCCCAATTTCTATGATGATGGTACATTTTATAATTGAAGTAGTTTACTATATATAAAAACAACCAAGTAAATTATTCAAACTTTCTGTTTGACATTTGCAGATGAACAACGTTAAAGATTTGGCCCTTTGCGGGGCTTCGCGGGGGGGGGGGGTCGCACGCCCAGGGGATTTCGGACATAGAGCAAAGTAGCATCACCGCATTCAGCATTTAAATCGGACAGAAGCCAAGGCACTCAGGAGCCACCCGTCGCACTGATGTCGTCGCTCGGAGGGTGCCGCGCGCTCGTGCCAGTGGGGCTGTGAAAAGAGAACAGCGTGGTGAAGCTGTTGTCCGAATAGTACGTCTCTCAGCCAACCATTACCCTGGCGATAGATATGCTGCCGCCACTGCCGCGGGTTGGGGGGCGAAGAACCTCGCGGACCTCGACGAAGCATTCGGGATCCCGAAGGTGCATCGGCCCCCACCCTCGGCAGTGTCGACAGAACATAAGGCCCGGGAGTGCGCGAGAGTAGTCGAGGGACGCGTCGTGCGCCCAGCGGGGGCCCCGCACCGACTCAACATCATATGAGATGACGTTGGTCGGGTGGTGGTGGTGATGATAGTGCTGTTCTTCAACGGCGGCGCCTCCGTCCATCCGTGGGTCCCGAAACCGGCGCGGCGCTGCCTTGGCCGGCGGCGGGCTCGGGGGCGCGGCCGGCAGCGGCGCCTTGGCTGACGTGGCGGACGGCGGCGCCTGGGCGGGCGCAGGAGCCGCCGTCGCGGCGCCAGCATCGACGCCGCAGCTCATCCAATTGAGGCTGTCCTGATCGGTGAGCAGCGCCATCTCGCTCAACCTGCGCTCAGCAGCCAAGAGGGTCTGGCGCGCCACGAGGCCGGCATGAAAGAGGGCCGCCACCTCGGCGCTGCCGAGTGCGAGCGCCATCGCGTGAGCGCTGCCGGGAAGCGGGCTGCTTTGGCTCGCGCTGGGCATTGCTTGGGCGAATTGGCCGCGGCCCGCCACGCCGTCCCACCGTCGTTCTCTGACATGGTATATTTAGGTTGCGTTGCGAATGGGTGCGCGGAGATGCACGTTGCGTATACATGTGCGTTGGCATGTAAATGCGTAGTGTTTTTGAGGTACACGAGACACTTCTTTTTACCTGGCACATTGGAGGTACTCTCGAGATATAGACGATGGGCATTGGCTCTGAAATTCCTTTGCATCGAAGCAGATATATCGAATTGAAAAGGTAACAACAGCGCAAAGTTCCCGATTGAAGATCGGCTGATCGCTCGAGGCAGTCGGCTGCAACGCCCTCCCCTCCCCTCCGATCGATCGAACGAAGAGACTGAAAGTCTCCTACTCTCGTTATCACGCTACAACCCTTTAGCTGCCGCCTCAAACTATGCGAGATCTTCGGTGCCTATCCCGCTCATGTGCGAGCTGCCCCAACCAGCGCGCGCAATGAAATCGCGATGCAAACTCCACGGGCCCAGGGCCGCGGGGGGGGGGGGGGGGCGCGGCGGCTCGGCGGCGGCGCTTCCGACCCAGGTTGAAGCGAGGAGCCGCCTGCTTGCCATTGCTCACCTGCTGCTGGTTGATCTTCAGCTCGATGGGCCGAAGATCTGGCAAGGCCAGCTCTTGCCGAATGCGTGCCTTTTTAGATTTTTATTTACGACAGAGGATTTCAATGGTGTAGGCAGACAGCTGATTGAAGGGTTTTTTTTTTTTTTCATCAATTGCCGTCTACCCTTGCCCAGAAAGCTTAAAGTCACAAAGGTGCCATGACGGGCGAGATAGTAGCGGGTAATGGACGCTGTGCTGGTCGAGATCCTGCATCAGGTTCTGCGAGTGCTCCGCCGCCACCCGCGCGGAAAGCTGGCGCGTGTACTGGCGAAAGTAAGCGGAGGGCGGCAGTCGCTTGAACAGTGCGAAGAGGGCGGGCCGCCAGCCATTCCAGTTCGTCATCGGCGGGTTTGTGCAGCATGATCTGCCCAACGGAAACGCTAGCTATACTGTTGCGCCGATTTGGCCGAACTCTCCTGGTTTCAGGAAGCGCGAACGCGCCCCCTCGGTTCACCCGCGGGGGCACGAACGCAAATCCTTCTTAAAGCTAGCCCATACGCAACGTGTCCCAGATCACCGTCGCAGCGCTGGAAGCCCCACTGCTTCCAGGCGCGCTGGAACTTGTGCGAGGCCCAGATCTTGTCCTCGAGGTGAACGCACGGGAGGGGCAATGCTAGACCGTATGGGTGTTACCAGAAGGTTTGTACAACATGATGTATTTCGATATTCAACGCTGCCCGAATCCTCGCCGTTGGCAATGCGATCTTGTTAACGCTGTCCTAGTCTGTTCCAAGCGATGGCAGGGGGCGGGTTCGGCGTGGGCCCCATCGCGGCCCCGCCTTCAAAGTAAGTAAATTCGCGCGCCATGGCGCACGACCAAAATACACTTGGATATTTAAATCCTGGGCCTTTCCGCGGCAGCTGCGCTTGCAATAGAAGCAGCGCAAAGCAGCGTGCTAACGTGAATACGAATAAGTACATAACGTGGTTTATGGTGCAATAGGGTTTGACCTTTTAAAGGAAACGATAACATTGATACCGAATGAACAACGTTGGGTTTGCCAATGCACTAAAACAGCACGGAGTTCACGCGAAACGCAAGCATGGAAGCTACGTTTTTTCTACGACGCGGTTGCGCCAGATACCGGCCGGGGTAACTGGCGCGATTGGGTTTGTTTTCTATGTGTAGTTCTGTCGCTGCGATTCGCCCATTATTGTCGCTGCTAGTGCTATTGCCCACAAACCAGCAACTATCTAAATTACTACAAGTATGATGACTATTGCTACTTGCGTGTTTGCTGTGTTTTCTGTCGGGGGCCGGGGTTTTGTCGGGTCGCCCCGGGGCAGAGCAACCATCTACAAGTGATTTCAAATTGGTATCGTTTTGTTCATTTCATTTTCTACAATTTTTATTTTTTCCTCCCCCGGAGGTAGAGCCAGTGGCCGGATTTTTTCTTGTCCCGGGGTAGGAAAATGCGTTAGTTGCCTTTTAG